AATATGCGAAGATAGCTCCTCATAGTTGATTCCTCGACTGCCCGCGTGTAAATGACCACTCGATGCATCGAAATAAAACGATCCTGGAATGCTTTGAGCTGCCAATGAGAATTGCAATGCTGTGGACCCCTCAGGATCATCAAATAGCGACGTTAAGGCAGGCTCGACACGTGTGCCCACCGGCGTATTCTCAACAACTTGAACAATTATGTCAGGTAGCAAGACTGGAGGCTCGACTTGATTCAACAGCTCGATACCGAATGTTTTAGTTGAAGAAAGCGCTACTGGCGACGAATCGTGGACTGAGACAACCACTTGGAACGATTTTTTCAGTGTAGCCACATCAAATACTCGGTGCCATTCGGTGTTTCTGAGCTTCACATCAAGCACATGACCAATACGTAGACGTGGCAGCTCAAACGTTAGTGTTCCAGTGACAGTATTGCTGTTCGTCACCGGCCCCGCAGTAACATTAGCAGCATAAAATAAACCTCCTGACGCATCGACACGCACAACTATCAATTCTCGTAGTGGTGCCCAAAATGCAACAGGTCCCTGCGCACTTCTTGAGTAGAGAATCTCTACACGAGTTTGAGATTTGATTCCTCCAATGAACCGTACTTCTGTAATGTTAACTTGGTCGGTGTCTTGTGTAAGTGATGTTAAACTGTCCACGTTATCAAATTGAAGAGATTCATAGTCGAAGCAGGACATTTTTGCGACAGATAGTTGTCCAGATTGTGCTCCAATCTGCAAACAACCATCGCCACTTTGAGAAGCAATCGAGAATTCAACGCTGCCACCTTGATCCGGATCATACGCAGTCACTGGCAGTCCAATTAGAGAACCATTCGGCATATTTTCACGCAACTCAAAGTCTGAATTGAAAATAATTGGAGGCTCATTCACATCTCGAACAAAAACAGTCAAATTCGCATCTGCCGTGAGAGATCCACTATCAGTGACTCGGAACGTCAGTGTGTAGACGCTCTTCTGCTCGTAATCGAGTGCTGTCTTAACGATGAACTGGATCTTAACTCCATCGTAAACGAAAGGACATGTCTGGTCACTACACCAGACCAGTGATAACCTGGAGGTGTCACTGGCGTCTTCATCTCCAATTACTAGAACGTTGGACAAGTCCACGGTTGTCGTTTTCCCTTCGTCAACATAGATGTCTGTTGTTACAATTGTCGGAGCCTCATTGACATCCGTCACATCGATTGTAACATTGAACACGGAAGCCAGAGCAGGATTCCCATTATCAAATGCCCGGAGTCCAATAACGTAACGATGAGTCTTTTCGTAGTCTAATGGAGCACCCAACTGATACACTGCGTACTGAATTGTCCCACCACAACTCTTTCCAGGCGCGTCATTGCACACGATATCGCATGTAGGTTGAGTGAGTCGATCTGCCGTTAAACCAGGCAACGTGTTAGAACACCAGCACTCGTAACCGAATCCTATCACCATGAATTGAGACGAGAAGCATCTTTGATAGCAATCACTGAATGGGGTAGTACTTCCGTAAGTACTAAATGGTCCTGCTAGACCATTTTGTAGCTGCGAAAAGCACCCGGTAAAGCTTTGGACTGAGCCCTGAGCTACACTCAGTTGGCCTGTTACCGAGTCCACCGCGAAGAAGTTGTCGCCATTCCCATTAACAATTGCGAAAGAAACTTTCTGGCCGACATCAGGATCCGTTGCCACAAGAACATTTCCAATTGGAGCTCCAACCCGCGTGTTTTCGGGAGCTTGTCGTGTTTGATTGCTGCAAATAGGAGCCTCGTTCACGTCCCGGACAGTAACAGCGAGGTACCCGAAAGCAGAAAGCGGATTCACAGTACGTAGCTCCTTGATAAAGAGCTTCAACGAGTATGTCGGATAAGTTTCGTAATTCAATACATCGTGTGCTACAACCAATGAGTTCATCGCGATGGAAAAAGCATCCCGGTAATTGCCTTCGACTATCGACACAGCTAGATGGTCATTGTCGGGGTCGAACAAATTAATTTTCCCGATCATTGTGCCAACACTCGCAGTTTCTGAAACTTGCAGGATAGAGTTTGCTACCAGCATGGGAGCTTCGTTCACGTCCACAATCCAAATCATCATCGTCGTCACAGCACGTAAGTTGCCATTATCCTGGACGGTGACTTGAAGCTCGTAGCGGTTCTGCGTCTCGTAGTCCAGTGCAGAGGTGTTACTTTTGATGTAACCCGTCGAGGGATCAATTTCGAAGACGGTAGCAAGCTGGTCGCTTCCTAGAGTGTATGTAAGGTTGGACGTACCGGTGTCATCGTCATCTGCTAGTAGGTACTGTGTTGGGGCTACACAGAAGACTTTAGTTAAACATTTACTGTACTGTAAGAAAATAATTGTAAAACTTACCATACGAAGCAAAGCGCGAGGATGGTTTGTTGATGTTGCGAAGATACGACGATACTCTCCAGTCCATTTTGACGGAATCCCAGTATTGAATTGCCACAACAGATACGCAGTGTGTCGGATCACTATCCGTATCGAGAACCACTTTGGAAGCGCCAACAGGCATCTTGAACTCAAGCTCTATCCACACACCCGTGCCGCTGACAGAATCAGAGCCAACGGTGGCGACTGTGTTTGTGTCGCTGTCAATTGCTTTGCTGAAATCGGAGCCTCCTGACGTCTTAAAGCTCGAAAGAGAAGACGCCAGGTTCACCCTTGTGCCCTCTGAAAACCAACCAAGCTCCGCGATACCAAACGACGAAGCCCCATTGTCCGAAATTACGAGTAAGCGCCACTTTTTAGCCACGTTTCCAGTCGATTCGCTGATAACTGGGGCGCCTCCGAAGTGCGCAGCTTTGCCGTCATGAGTGTTCAAGACGGATCCGCTAGACGCATCCACAAGATCGCCGTTGAATCTACAAAGTCAAACAGTCAAAGCGTCAGCAGAACATAAATTAATTTAATGGAGTGAAGGTCGTTAGAACCTGAAGAATGCGAGTAGAGACGTCTGTTTTGGATCGAGTGAGCGAGCAAAGTTAGAGCGTATGGCCTCGAAAGTCATGGCTTTGTTCCACAAACGCAGCTGCAGTAGCGAAGTTTTAATAAAAAAAAAATAAAAAAAAAAGCAATAAGCGCAACTAACCTCGTCGATGGAGAAGATAAATGGCTTCACCGGACAGTTCACTCCATAGCCGCAGTTGCCAACCACAAGTGTAGCTGATTTGCCCCATTTCCTTCCAATACAAGACACAATTTGCTGCTGGAGAACGAGTTCGCCATCCAGATAAATCTTCAGTTCACCTCGAGTACTATCAAAAGTGACAGCTACATGATACCAAAGCGCTGGCATGAATGCTACTTTAGTGTTGATCACAACTCCATGTAGAGTGACCCGTACATTATCCCCAACATATTCAAGCTGCAAGCCCGTAAGAGAGTTGTTGTTGTCTTTCCAAGTCACCATCGCCCCCTCATTCGCACTTACAGCAACCCAGCACTCCAACGTGAAGTCTGCATCCGGTACACGCACCAATTTGTCTTGGTGGGCATTCACAGTATCATTTGAAATTAAAAGTGCTGTGTTAGCTGAGTGTTCGTCGATACTTTCAAAGCCTTCACAGTTCTCGCATGCCACACATGATTTCGGTAACGTTTTGTACAAACTACAGAGCGACGACGTGTAATTGAAAACGCCAGCCACGCAAGTATCCAGTTGTGCACAGCGCTGTAAGCAATTTCCATACGATACAACAACTTGATTGTCAATTCTGGTGGTGTCATCAGCAATGGCGCACGGACCACGAGGTCGAAATCGAGACGTCGCGATGGTACGCGTAGCAACGTTTTCAGCAATAAAGAAATGCTGGTTCATTGGAACGTATGGAGCCTCGTTGACATCAGAAACTCGAACTTCTATCGCAAACAGCGTAGACACCTTTGCTGTATCAGTCGCAGTCACTAGAAGTGAGTACCGTGAACGGGTTTCGTAATCCACTGGCTTAGTTAGAACAAGATTATAAGCTGTAGAATTGATCGCCTGGAGCACGAAAGCGGAATCTACCAATATCGCTGTGCATACGTCATTGGCATCTTCGTCATAAACAGCCAAGACGCCAATCGAGGTACCAACAATTGTCGTTTCTGGGACATCTACGCCAACCAATGTCGAGCTTGGAAATGCAGGCTGAAATGACAGTTTGGGAGGGTCATCTTGGTCGAGTACCTCCACATTGACGCCAACAAAAGTGCTCTTTGCAGGTCGGAATGCATTCCGGACAATCAGCGTGATGTTGTACACTCGTTGTTGTTCAAAATTGAGCACTTGAGTAGCCTTTAGTTGTCCTGAAGCAACGTCGACTGCGAACTTTTGGTTGTCACCCGCGATTTCAAAGAGAAAAGCGGTGGAATTCCCCAGACCAGTGTCCGGATCAGTGCAGTTCTTCCAGAGTGCATCTCCAACTCGAGCATTCATCGCGTTATTTTCAGATACGGTGGTGAATACGGTTCCAGCACATGCTGGAGACTCTAATTCATTCAAGATGCTGACACTCAAGGTACAGACGCCAGTTAACGGGGCTGCAGCGTCATCTCGAACGCGAATTTCGAGCGTGTATTGCCGCTTGGTTTCGTAATCCGGTGACTTGGTGCCTACAGTGACAACACCACTCGTCGAATTCATGTGAAAAACATCGCTGTCGTCGCCCGACACAATAGCGAACGACACTTTGTCGGTGGTGTCTGGGTCACTGCCTGTAATGGTGCCAACAAAAACGCCATAAGGCGAGTTCTCCAAGAGCTGGGCTTCCGCACTGGTGCATCGTGGAGGGTGGTTAATGTTGCGAGACAATACGTGTATTGTAACTTCACTGTACGACGAAGCATTGACCGTGTCCGTAACCCGCAACCCGACACTAAGACGTTCGTTGCCCGCTACTTCAGGAACGTATACATCTTGGAGAACCGAGAGCTCACAAGCCGTTCCATCAGTGCTGGTTTTGATCGAAAACTTGTCATTCGCTGTAGTAATCGAGCAGACTCCCCCAGTTTGGCCCGGATCTCTGTCGGCTATGGGCAGCGAGACTGGCGCGTACGACCCATCCTTCAACTGGCTCAAGTCGACGTTGTAATTGGACTTCGCAGCCGTCGTTCCAACGAAATAAGGCGGTGAAGGAACCATTTGCACGGCAATTGTTATCGGGTCTGAATACCCAATCAACCCATCAGTATCAGTAGCTTGCATGACTATTTTGTACTCGCTCACGACCTCAGCATTCAGCGAAGAGCTCACTGTCAATGCTCCTGTCGATCCGGATATTGAGAACTGGTTCTGTGGATCTCCTGAGTGAATCGCGTATACAAGCTGCGCACTTTGACCCACGTCTTCATCCAAAACTGTGAACGAAGCTCCCACAGCGGATCCAACACTGGCGCTTTCTGCAATCGAGACCGTCGTTGCTGCTGTTTCGATGATTGGTGCGTCTGGGCCATCCAGAATTTCAATCGTGTTAGGCCCCACCTCCGTGCACAGCTTGAGCGGATCGCAAATACGGATATGAGTCCGAAACGAGTGAGCGGACAAGGCTTCGTAGTCGATGTCCGCTTTCGTCACGAGGTTCCCGCCTGCAACGCCAAACAAACTCTCGAATCCGGTATCCGCGCGCACGATCGAAAATACAAGGTGGTCTCCCTCAGGGTCACTAGCCTCGAACGTGTAAACTACAGTTCCTATTGGGATATTTTCGAGAACTTTTTTAGAGAAAACCTTGCCGGTAGGGGCTTCATTCACGTCGATAACTTGCACTGTCATCGCAGCCTCGTCGTGACCGAGTCTTTCGTCGTCAACCGCAACAGTAACTTTGAGCACAGGAGTCATTTCAAAGTTTACAGTCCCGACTGCCCATAATTGAGAGCCCTGGATTGAAAACGTATCGCTGCCTGAGCGCAGAGTGAACGTGAGGACTGCTCCCTTGTCCTCGTCAAACGCGAACTTCGCCAGATCTCCAACTAAACAATCATTCCCGACGCAATTCTCCGGAACACGGAAGACCGTACTCGTCAAAACGGGGGCATCGTTGGAGTCCGTGACAGCGATAGTGTAGTCGCACATAGCTTGAAGCCCCGTCTTATCCATAAATTGTACTTTGAAGGGAATGGTATCCAGAACTTCGTAGTTGAGCGCTTTACGTAAGGTCATCGCACCAGTGGATGCGTCGATAGTTAAAGTCCCCGGAACGCTTTGAGAAACTAGTCGATACAATAAAGAGTCTCCGGCGTCAGGATCCGAAGTGTGGGCATATAAAGCTCCAATACTCGTCCCAACCGCAGTATTCTCTGCAACGCTGAACGAGAAAGCAGCACAAAGTGGCGGCTCTGGGACATCTTGGACGGTAATCACAACGCTAGCGTGGCTTTCTAATCCGCCTAGATCCTTGGCAACAACGTCCAATACGAACTGAGGTGTTGTCTCGAAATCTAAAGACTTAGTGGCCACAATAAACCCTTCTCGGTTGATCACAAAGTTGCCATTCCCACCGCTAGCAATCGCCAATGTGAACGAGTCGTACGTATCAGGATCCATCACACCTAAAGCTGCTGCCAGTAAGACGGGAGGAAGAGCATTCTCTTTGATAACACGAGACACTTGGCAATTGGTCACAACAGGAGCTTCGTTGACGTCTACAACGTTCACACGGATCTGGCATGCTGCGTATAGCGCAGTAGCTTGGGCTTCTTGTAGCAGCAGCGTCAAATCATAGGCGGTGCGAGCTTCGTAATCGAGTGCTTTCTGAAGTTTTACGCGGTTTTGGTTGTCCAACGTGAATACACCGTCCACTGGAGCTTTGAGTTGGTACGTCATGCCAGCAGGAGAGACATCCAGACTAAAACTGACGCTTGAAACAAATCCGGCGTCATTTTCGCTAACGTTCAGAGTGTGCTTCTTGCCCACACAAACCGAAGCAGGAAAGACATACGAAAGTGTGCGGACCCCACCTGAGCAACTGTATCCTGGTGGACATTTCTTAAGCTCGCATCGTCGACCATCTGGGGCATTCTCAGGAAGAGCATAGTAGCCCGACGGAACGTTGGTTAAGCCGTAGTAAGCGCTGGCTTGTGAGAGCGGCAATACCAGCTGAAGGCTGTAACTCGATCCAGGTACTACCACGTCAAACGTGACAGGTGTGATATTATCATTAACCACCACGAAAACAAACCCAGAAGTTGCAGAATCAATTGCAGTCTGCGAGATCCCAAATCCTTTGATCCAGGTCCGTAAAGTCGATGGAAACACCCCCAGTTTTGTGCCAATTAGAATCGCAACTCCACCCGTATCCATCGCGGACAATGTCGGCATATACGTAGCAGTTGAGGACGCGTCAGCACTTATCACTGAGCTTTGAATGCCCGTTCCAGAATACACCAAAATATCCACCGAGTTTGTGGTCTGAGCAAGATTTCTCGCCACTTCTCCGTTAATACTCGCAGTACTTTTACAAGTCGGAGCAGTAGCGGCGCACAAATTGATGTCAATCTGCAATGAGATAGCTTGTCCGTCCAGCCGGTCACATCGTAACGTGCTAAAGCTTGTGTCGGAGGTTTTACGAAAGAGAAGTGACCTTTTCACGACAAACTGCGACTCGGCTGCGATGATGGACACGACATGTTGACCCCACGACGACACGAATGAAAACGCAAGAGAGCCATTCTTTGATCGCGGGACCACAACAGCCCCATCCAACAGTACGATGGCACCCCAATCGAAGCCAGCGACTGGCATTTGGAACTCATACTTGGGATTAACTTGAGACTGCTCGAAATACGAGATACTGATGTTGTGCGCGAATCCAGAAGACCAGCCCGTCCTGAAAAATGTCAAGTTGACGTCTCGAAACTCGAAAATGTCAGTTGAAACAGCCGCCCCGCTGTTCATGGCAGACACAACACCTTGAATAAATGAGTCGTTCGTCTCGCCAGGCTGCTTCGATAGAGGCGCTAGTAGGTAAGATATGGACGCCGGAGTCAACGCGACTTGGCTTACGCCACTTGGAGCATCTGGACATCGACTGATACTCCCAGCTTTGCAGACGCACCCAATGGCACATCGACCCGAACAAAGCGGGCTGACCAGGCCGGTTTGGTCTCCGAATCGTGTCGGAGGACACTGATACGCTATACCTCTCCGGCAGTAGGATCCTCTGGGGCACAGTGATATTGCAGATTGCTGCTCGTTTGTCAAAGAACCAATAGAGTAGTAACCAGGTGGGACGATTGTCGGACCAGAATTCCCTTGTGGGCAGTACACGCTTCTCGAAGAGCACGGTGCTAACGAGGTATAACCACACGGAACGCTACTTTGCGAACAGTAGAACCCAGCTGGAACAGCACTACAGTTTAGCTGTCCTGGCTTCGAGTACGTTCCATTTGAGCACGATAAAAGATCCATTCGAGACATTTGATCAAATGGACCAGCGTATCCCTCCGGTACATTGAGGCATTCGCTCGATCCAGCGTCAGCGAATGTGCCTGCTACACATTTTGTCGGTGCTGTCGAGCTGCTTGAGCACTTGAATCCCGGTGGACAAGAAAGACACGCAGCGCTATCTGAAGCTCCAACTGAGGGGCCGTATGATCCAGCCGGACAGGCATTGCAGCTCTGTGAACGTGGCTCTGAATAAGTACCCGCAGGACATTGAGAGCACTCTCCACTCTTGGATGCCACATAACCCGGGGGGCACCTATCGGGTCGTAACAAAAGCGTGGAGGAATCATACCCATCGACATTGTTCCATACAATACTACCGCTCTTCTGGCACCAGCTCTGTGCCCACGCAGAGTAGGACGAGCAAATGGGAAGCATGTCGAACGGCGCGTTTAGATCCGATCTTGTCGAGCTGAGGCAGTCAGCGTACCAGAATCCGCTTCGACTTTTCTTGGCGCAGTTCTGACTCGCAGACAGGTCATTGTCCTGGTCGGGTGTGCTGAAATACGTGTTCGAGAGGGATGTTAAGGCGTCGGTGGCATAACTTGCAGTAGCATTGTAGCCACGCACTGTCAAGAGGTACTTCTCGTTCTCGCTAGCAACTCGAAAGTCGCTGTATAGCGCAGCCAGAGATTGATAGTCCTTCGATACCACGATCATCGCTTCAGTAGCTCGTGCTGTAATTGTCGCAAGAATGTTGTTCCCTACCCACCATTCACTAGTGGAGCCCAAGCCGAATCCATCGCGGTATTCGTTCCAATTGCGATTAAAGCTTGTCTTCCCATTAATACGTCGCTGCGCCACTATCCAGCCATCTGAACACGGAAGACTTACAGGATCGACGTTGGGATCTAGCTGGATGTAGTACTGGCCGTCTGGATTGGGATCTCCATTTGACAGGCGCTCAGTTTTCAGGTGCATACACGACACGGCTGGGGTTGCCGTCGATAATCCCAGCGGCGTTTTGAAAGCATACTCCAGCTCCATCGACACTTCGTCAATTCCAAACGCACTAATGGTTAAGGATCCGAAATCAATGTCAAACCGAAGTTGCGTGGCATCTCCAATAAAGCCACGAAGTACAAAGCGCTCTCTGCCCCTGTAGAAGTACGCTTGTCCGGCTGTGGTAGAGCTCTGTCCATAGCAAGCATACGTCACCGATGTGTCAACTTGCACTTGTCGAACCAGTTGGGAACCGAGATACACACGAATAGTTTTGGGTTCTGAGCTTTTGAGAAGAAGCGTGACCCAGTAGAGCGGATCGAACACAAAGTAGTACGTAAACTTGATCCGCACGTTCGTCGGTTTGTCGCTCGCACTGATCTGAGCCACTTTCTTGCTTACAAATGAGCCGGCGCGTGCAAATGACTTTCCACCAAGAAGAACAATCCCTTGGCAAAGTTGGTACCATTTATCGGTATTGCTCCACGACGTAGCCCACAGATTGTCGTCGCCACTTCCGATGAAGGAGTCTTGAAGAACAAAGCTCCATGACATGGACGGGCTAACATCGTTGGTTGAGCACAGGTATTTTGTCGTCGCTAAGCCTCGCGGATCGAAACTTAAGCTGAGACCATCTAATACGCTCTGTCCATTGGACGAAGCATGCATCCCTAGCCATCTTCGTTCGTCTGGAGCATTCGCGGGGGACACGACATCACAACTGCTTCCGTTATCACGTAGCCACCACTTGCCACCATCGATGGCAGTCCAATCCAGCACGGTATCTTCGTCACTTGGCAAATCCACAGTATCGCCGACGTAGGCATTCGTCACGCCAGGAACAGTAGCGAAAAATAACGAGCCAAATTTGCGGTGCATCGATACTAAATGTCCTGATGAACGCGGCACAATTTGTCGAAGACCCATTGCCTTACAGGTATCGCTGTCTTTCGGACCCGCCGTGCTTCGACAGTCGATGTCACTCGTACCCAAGTCGCACGGAACAACCGTGTAGCCCTCGCCACTATCAGCAGTCATGTTGCAGAACGCATCAAAGATTCCTGTACTCGTGGCAATGGCATACCGTCCACTCGTTGCATTCGATGCGTCGGCCTTGATGGCGTGACAAGTCTGAGGCATGTTCAGGTGAACAGTGCTTCCTCCTGAGGCGTTGTACTTCCCTGACTGTAAGTTTAGGCGAAGATCTGCTGCAGTGATGCCATAACACGTTCCGTCCGTATTCATAAAGCCCACGCAGTTATTACTGGATTGACAAATGCACCGACAGCGATCCTTCAGAGTGTATGCTTCAGCACAAACGCTGGTTCCACATGTGTCCCCCTTGCATTGCGCTTGCAGAGATACATTCTGACTGAGTGACCACTTGGTGCTGCGTAGAACTGTCCATGCGTTTTCCGAGATAGCTGATACTTGGTTTCGCACGAAAGACACCCGTGTTGAGTCTGTGGCCATAGACGAGGTGTTGCGAAGCATGTACAGATTGCAAGTCCTCGTCACAGTATTGTACACACCTAGTCGACAGAGACCGTGTTGAGTGCAGCGGGACTGGCATAACTCCTGTGAGAGCAGAGCCCCTCTCTCTACGGTAGCTATCTGCACCTGAGCTCCTTTGAGCTGGAATCCTGCCGTGGTAGCCGTCTTTGCATCAATCGAAATTGTGTGCGAGCCAGCTACAGCTTCCACAATCGAATGCATCGTCAAAGGCTCGCAACTTCCATTTGCTACTGTCCCAACTATCGAGGAAAAGTCTCCATCAAAAATTGGATCCCCATTTCTTAATATACGCGCACGGAATGTCTCGGTGGCCGCATTACGGCATAAAATGCCAGCAACACGGATTATTAAAGTACTTGAGGACGACACAGTTACTTGTTTCGAGAATACAGTAGCCGTCACGGAAATCGTACTGTCACTGATCGTATCTGTGGTCAGCGAAGCCCCTGGAATAAATACAGCGGTAGCTCTGCCGCCAATAATCTTCCCTGTTTTCGTTCCTTGGTATTGGTAGCTGAGAGATAAATTCAACGTGCTTGCGGTAGAAACGCTACTAAAGTAGGAGAAATCAAGAGGCACTCCCGATGGATCGAGGAACGACTCGTCCAAGCGGGAACTTGACACTGGCGGGGTAGAGCTCGACCCGAATCCGAGATCAAGACGAAACGTTTTCGCCATGCATTTGTCCACGAAAAACCTTCCCGTGAACGAGCAAAGAAGAACCCCGCTTGACGACGAGGGAAGAGACAAGGTTAATCCTGGAATCACGCTCCACTGTGAAGTTATTGCCGTCGAAAAGGCCGTTTGACTCGCCTTGGCATTAGCCCATGTGGTAGTCGGTACAAAGGTAAAAGAAACCAGCGATGAGGTGTTAAGCTTGGCGCTTTGGGCATCTGTTGTCGACACCGACCCCAGATGGAGAGCAAACCGGCCTTCAACGGGGGCATTTTGGAACTGCAGAACCGAGACTCCTCTTCCGACACTGCTCGCTTTGTTCGCTTGTTCAGCGGTCAGCGTAGACGATGTCGTGGGGTCAGGAGCGACAAAGGGAGCCCACTTTGTTACCTCTCCAATAATGGCAGTTACGGAGGCTATAGCTGGTGATGATCCCTCTCGACTGAAGTATACTGCTGATGTTTCGAACTTGGTTGAGAGTCCGTAGATCTTCAGCACGTGATAGCCTGGCGGAATTTTCGTGTCCACTTGGGTTGCTTTCGACAATACACTTTTCCAGTATCCCGATTTCCCTAATAAATCTTGGACAATTACTCCATCGAGAACAACCACAGCACCGTTACCAAGCCGGAAAGGCAACCCCAAATACCACGACCAGCTTGTAGTGACGGGACTAGGCTCCACAAACTCCACCTGGAGCAGAAATCCAACATTGGTGTCGACTTGCTTGAGACTGCCGCATAAGTCACTTTGAGCGTTCAGTAAAGGTCCGAGAGCAGACAATTCACGCTCACAAAATCCGTCACTTTCCACCGGGGCAGCAGCAGCGTCAAAGTCTTTTAGAAAAGTGGCCCCTTGTCCAGCTTTGTACGCAGTAGCTGACACGGGCTTAGAAGCATACGATATCTTTGCGTACGGACTCATAGAAGCTTCAATGGGATACATGAGATAACGTCGGTAGAATTGGTAATTTACGACACAACGTACTTGGATAGTTGAGTCTGGATTCTAGCACATTCTCCGTAAAATACCTCGAGTCCTGAAAAATAATAACACATATAAGTTTTAACTACCCATAAGTTGTTGGACTGAAGGGAGTCGCCGACCGTTCTGTAGTTCACATGGGCCACTAGCACTCCTGAGCTCGGAGTCACTAGAGTAGCCGTTTTGTCTCCATCCAAGTTATCATACACGACCGAAGGAAGGACTGCGGAGTAATTGATGTTAGACCACGAGTCCTTACAAAGAACAGGGACGGCCAGTGCTCACTCACACGAAGCGAGCTCCACATTCGCATCTGTCGGTCGAGAACTGGAGAATGTGGTAGAGCTGGGAGGCACGCAGGTTCCCGACCGAAAGAGCTGAGTCCAACTGGCAAGCGTCCATGCGATAAGCGGTCGGAGATGCATGGCGGGCTGGAGTTGTTCCCTTGTTCCCTTGGGGTGATCGTGTTAGTGTCCCCAAGAGAACGGGATTTCTGGAAAGGTCGGCGACGATTCCTTACCAGTATTCTTAAAATGGCGATACGCAAACATACTGGATCGAATCTACTGTTGTTTGCTGAGAAGTGCTTGCTATAAGCAAGGTCGAAGAAGCTCCAGCTCGCGGCTCAATTTCGTGGTTAGATAAACTTTTTTCCGGATTCGCTTTTATCTGCAGCTAATTAAAAGCCAAAACTTAATATATAATAAAGATTTTTATTTTTAAAAAGATGAAAAAAGCAATAGTATCAAAAACAATTTATAGTTATTTAGAAAAGTGCTATTTTCTTTCACATTTAAATTCAGCAACTTTTCCAAAAAAATATTATTTTGAAGTTGTAGAATTTTGTGTATTTCTTTTACATTTAAATTCAGCAATTTTGCAAACCAACAAAAAAGCGAAAGTGCACGAAAACACTTTGGTAAAAAACGTTTTTTAACAGTAAAAAAAATTATGCTTACATGTTGTATTGTCGATTCTTCCCGCCATTTTCAGATGGATGCCATCTTACAGTTAGCCCAGCTCAGTCATCAGGAGCTGGAGGCTCACAGCCGCGAGTCAATGAAGACTCAGCTGGCGGTGATGCAGCGTGCGCTCAAGGATGCTGTGGAAGCCGCGAAGCTGGCAGCGGAGGTGCAGTTGATTTCCCGGAAGCTGTCCATCAAGCTGTTCAATGAAGGCTCAGAGCTCTCTTCGGCTCTGCTGTCGTCCTCTTTACTGCGTGACGAGCTGGTCCAGTCATTAGAACAGTTGATGACACTCTCTCTCGCTACGTCAGGCGAATCGTCTCGCGCTCTCCCTGCGAAAAGTCCCTCACCCCCTCAAGAAACTTCGTCGAGCATTGACACGACAGCCCAGAAGAAGCGCAAATCAAACTCTCCGACAGCAGGGGGAACGAGCACCAAGAAGCGCAAAAGTTTACCATCGACAATTGCTAAGTGTGCTTCAGAAGCTCCTGCAATGCTCTCCGAAGTGGAGAAGAAACCGAAGTCTGCCGCTGGTCTCACCAAGGCTTTGGAAGCTGGTAGGAGTCTGACGGAGGAGCTGGCGAAGAAGAAGAAAGGGACTGATCGGGTGCCTGGCTTGAAGATGCTGGTGCAACACTTCAATAACGCGCATAAAAACTTGGACCCAAACGTCATAGTCGACCAGATTGAGGCGCTCGACACACTCAACGTCATGGCCGGCATGGCAATCGGAATCATGCAGCAAGGAGACCCTCAAATGAAACGACACTGGGTGCAAAAGTTTAGAGATAACATTGCTGACATCCAAGAGCAGTTCCCGGACTCTGCGGGATCATTCAACGGGTACGTATTGCTTAAGTGGTACCCTGAATCTGCTTGATGTATTGACCATTTAACTGTCCACCAGACACGCCAACTCTCTGTCAAAGATCATCAGTAGTTTCCCACTTACGATCAAAGAAGGTCAGCAGCTTCGAACACGTCTGCGCAAGGCTCTGGAGGAAGTGAAGGGGTGGGAGGAGGGGCAGTACAAAATTGCTGCTGTGAATCAGAATATAGCGCTTGTCGCTGAGGCGTTCGAGAGCACATGCCCCAACTGGACCGCGCAGACTGACAAAACCGTTGGGAAGCTGACAGCTCTCCTCCTGTACAGAATGAGTGCTTTTAAGGACAACAAGGAGCAAGCAAAGAGGAAGCGGAAGCTGCAGGCGTGGTTGGAGATAATGGAGCAGGAACCTCAAACACTCTCCCCATCTAAAGGAAATCCTTCAGTCTCCGATGCATCTACAGATAACGCTTCCAAGACGGTGAAAAAGAAAAAGGTGATATCGGAAAAAACTAGTGGCAAGCCGACGCCTCCAAAAGCTAAAACACCCGCAAAAGCACCCGCTAAGACGTCGCAGAATCACGGTAAGCAACCGCAGCCAAACAACACAGGACTATCGTTTGAGCAGCCATCGCCCAATGCTTCCGACACGGAGCCTACACAGGTTGAACTGCGTGTCAAAGAAGAGGTGACGGAGTGAAAACAAAGAAAAGAAACCAAATGTTCGTGTCGACTAAAAGTCTTGAGATTTCGTTGATTGAACGGTGTGAAACACCCACCTTCACACGGGTATTCACTTACGCAATGAACACCTCGTAAGGCGTCGGGCTCCAGTCCGGGAAGTACTTGGCCACAGTGTCGTTGGCCTCCTCCACGGTACCGGACACGCAGCGACCATCCGCAATGCGCATCAGGATGTACGCCACAGGGTCCGTCTCGTATTTCTTCTTGGTCTCCTCATAGCTCACCAGCTTGAGCTCCATCTTCTTACCCAGTTTCTTCTCGGCCAGCGCAGCAATCTCCTTCGGAGACATGCGATCACTCTCGACTGAGAACCGCGACCAATGTAATGAGCCCTTACTCGCTGTCACCAGCACGTGCGCGATGAATCGACTCAAGTCCGATCTAGCCACGATACTCATCTTCGCATCACCCTCACCAACTACATTCATGACGCCTTCCTTAAAGTTGTATCCGAGGAAGCTAAAACAGAAAAATTAAACGAAGTTAGCTTGGCAAGGCGGAAATAGATCGAGCAGACGCCAACTTACAATGGAATGTACTCGGCCCACAGTCCACCGTGGAAGAGCGCGAAGGGCAGCTCTAGCTCTTTCAGTAGAGCACGAACTTTCAGCTTCGTAGCGTTCGGTCCATCTTCGTCTGGCATGCCAAACTGCAGAAGTCTGCGTTAATATGGGCTGAAAATGTAGAGTTCTCCGGTTTGGTTCTTACTTCAGTAGGCACGAAAAGTTGCAGTCCTGCAGCTTTTGCCGCTCGGGCAACGGCAAATTGGGTCGAGTGGTGGTATGCATGAATCGCACAAACGCTACGGTACAGACGGGAAAGTTAAACCTTTACAATCAAGTAAGGAGATGAATAGCACCTACACCACTTCATTGCCACTCAGAGCTTCCTTCAGTGATGCTTCGTCATCGTAGTCCACTTTCACAAGTGAGACCCCACGCTCCTTGAATGTTTGAAGCTCAGCCTAGATTCAGTGGTTTCCGTGAAATCGAAAAGTCAGAAGTCAATTAATATCGCACTTGCAAATATACTGCATTACCTTGGTATCATCGCGAGTAAGGAACGTCACAGTGGCCTTGGCCTGGAGTAGACCTTCAACAACGCCGGATCCGACGCCTCCGGCGCCGACGATCGCGAACTTGGTGAAAGTGGACATCTTTAGCGTTGAATTGCAGTGGAAGTGGCTTAAATGTATTAAGCAAATTGAAATATGAGCTCAAGGCTCACACGCATCACCTCAACTTCCAACAATAGGTACATGTAGAAGAAGTACTGTATCGGTTCTCGTCAACATCGTGGCCGAATCCTACTGTAAACAGAGTAATCTTCTTGTTTGGGCTTTGCATTAAAAAAAAACCAAAGCAGAGAGTTGTTAACCAGATTCTGAAGTACTTCATAGTATTACATGTATTTTACTAAGTAAATTAATACCGGTACTTGGAATTAGACCGAATCTGAATATGCCATTAGAGCGATTGATGAATTTCTTAGTAGGTGACGATGACCCGACGGTGGTGGAGGAAGCATTAGCCTTCATCGAGTCCTACGGAAAGGACGAGGGGGCGACTGACTCGAGCACTTGCTGCAGCGAGGAAAATCGCGGTGACACAGACGCCGACACTACCGGTAGCGAAGGCACCACGAGCGCTTCGTTAGAAAAGCGTTCTGTCCGCCAAACTTGTCGTCCTGATCAACCTAAAATTAAGCCACCGATGAAGAAGCGCATTAAGACGTTTGCGAGCTCTTCCACGCGACAACTACAGCGAAAGAAAGCAGAGAAGCAAGCGCTGTGCGAGCAGATACTGGTACTCCAGGCCCAGCTTGATCTGCTGAAGCGCTCCAAGAATACCACGTTAACCGGACCTCAACGTGCCGCACCATCCCGTGCCAACGGAGGTGCAAAATCCGAATGGTATGCCCAAGCAGTGACTCAGTTTGTACGTCGACAGCAATCAGAGAAGACGCACCGGGAACTCAAAGCCATTTAGGCGAATCAGCAGCATACCACACGGGCCTTACGGACGATATTGCAACGACGCACCGTTCTTGATGTATGTCCGAAACGATTGCCGCGTAGTTTTGGTATTACCACTAATCTTTATTTGGTTTTGCTTCTGTAGGGGATGGATCTCGTGTTCGGTGGGGCACCACCACTCTACCGACCGCCCCAAACATTGGACGGCAGTGCAGAGATTCTGCATATGCTGGAGAAGCGTGTGGACAATCTATACATCGATTCAGAGGCTGAATTCGGATGGGGCCTTCCATGTATGGTCACTTCCAAAATGAATGTCAACTGCAACACGCAATACGGCAAAGTTATCGAGATCGAGACTGTCACTCCAGTCTCGTGCTCGATACAGGAGGCATCTGCGCTTTTGTGGAAGGACCTCAAGACTATACACGAAATCCCTGACAAGCGCTATCGCTACGTAAGGCTTTCTCTCTCTTCCCCTGATCTGCGGCTACTAACTAGCATTGATGTTGTTGTTTGTTTGCTTGTAGCTACGCGGAAGCAAGCCCAATTCGCTGGAAAAGAACTTTGTCATGAAGCTGCGCGGGCAGCACCATGACATTGAGATCAACGGAACTCACTTTTCTCGCAAGTTTGAAGAGGCTCGACGTATTGTTATTGCTAAGGCCGACACTATCGTGCTGCCAACGTAAGGGCTTGAATTCCGATCACCATCCTGGACCACAATTACAGCTTCGGAATCCGACCCGCAGCACGCGTCAGTTGTGCGGAGCTATTTGCGCATCTATGCAGAAGTTCAACCCAATCTGGCAGCCCGTCCAGAAGACGTCGAGAGCGCGCGAGACTTCATTCTCAACGGCCTCAGCAAGATGATGTACGGTTGTGCACAGAAGACTCAAGGCGAGCTTATCCAGCATACGCTGGTCATTTAATTTAGTGTAGGAGTATCCTGTTGTTCCAGTTGTCTGTGGAGTTATCCGTCCTGGTACTGACACTCGCCATAAGCACAGCCCGCACCAGTGGTGCGACATATATTGTTCTTTGAGGTTCAAACTTCCAACAACGGATAAGCCAACGAGCTTGGGAAAAACTTTAAGTAAAAGGTAAGATGCAAATTCTAAAAGATCTAATGAAAAGAATGTTCCCGGTTCTTATGAATGCCATCCTTCTCAGTACTTATCGGGTACGAGTATATTTACTCGCAACGACTAGGTGTGAAGTGTCCTTTGTCTTGAGAATAAGGTTCGGAAGGCAGACGAGGAAATTTAGTGTCGTGAAGCTTTCATCGAGGCGCGATAAGTCCGAGCCGCTGCCGCGTTTGCTTCTCCCTCACATCCAATTTCGCTCTGTACCGCAAGTGGCTCCCAGCTTCACCGTGCTAACACCTGCAACCAGAAACTTCGGAATCATGGATCCCCACACTTCTCCGATCTCGTTGGATAACATCGATGATCTCTTCAACCTACCGGCGTCAATGGCACTGCTGGGGGAGGAAGATTTCGAAATCACGATGATGATGCTTGACAGCTCGGCACTTCGCAGGGAAGACTCGGATAACCTCGACATGGCTGAACTAAGCGACGCCTTCAACTCTAAGGACCCTGGGTCGCCTCTCGCCGCCAACGAACAACACGCGACAAGCGAAGGTGGAAACTCTTGCCTGTCGCCGGATCTGAAGGTCCGAATCGGCGGAAGAACTCCTGTTGGTGGCGCCGTGTACATCAAACAGGAGAGCGACATGCCAGGCTATTCGCCGGTTATGGACTCCTTCCTGCGAGAGTCGTGGGATGACATCGTCGGCCACGGATCAAGATCTGGTCAGCCATCGTTAAAGCCAACAAGCAACTGCTCAAGCCCCTTTACTATTTCGTTTACCCCAGGTCGTGTGAACCCGCTGCCGCTCAACTTCCTGCCCCCGATTCCGTCGCCAGTAGGGGGTCAAGTATTCCCGAAGAGCATGCCTTACCTCACATCATCGCTGCCACTGCCCCCTGCGACGGTGCGCACGGTCTCCAACACGTCGACTTCCTCTTCGGTGTCATCTGCTTCGTCTACCAAGTCAAGAAGCTCCAGAAGAGCTAAGCAGTGCATTGCTGAAGGATGCACACGTCGTGCTCAGTCGAACAATCGGTGCAAGACTCATGGTGGTGGAGCACGTTGCCAAGTCGCTGGTTGCGATAAGAGCTCGCAAGGTGGAGGTCTTTGCCGAGCTCACGGCGGTGGCAAGAAGTGCGGTGTGTCTGGTTGCACAAAAGGAACTCAGCGCCTCGGCCTGTGCTACTTGCACGGTGGAATCCGTCGCTGCATTACGGAGGGCTGCACAAAGAAGGATCGCGGCAACGGATACTGTATCTCCCATGGAGGTGGTCGGCGATGCGTGGCGGAAAGCTGCAACCGGTCGGTTCGTAAGGGGAACCACTGCCAGATGCACCAAGGTGTAGCTGAAGACACTCCATTCTAGATTAGCCGAGGCGAGAGTCTAACGTCCTCGTAGGCGATCAGATACGCACAGAGCTGCATTTATAGATAATGAGGAGAGCTTACAGCTCAGTGCCAGTAAAAGCATGTAGATACAACTTAAGAAGACAAGGTATCTTCGGTTAACTAAGCTTAAGAAATGTGCGGAAGAAAAAATGGGTCTTGAGCACTGTCAGTATATTACCTCGTGACAATGACTAACAAAATCTAGCTGTGATGGCTACAGAAGACGAGGTTTGCGCAGTGCGCAGTGCGTTGCGTCTGCGTCTTAAGCATGAGGTTCTCCCGGTTTCGTCCACCCACACTGCTAATAAAGAGTCCAGAGCAGCCACAGATGGAAGCTTAGTGGCGGTGGCGCAGCTAGAGCAGCTTTTTGAACGAACGGTGGAGTTTGGTGAGAACCAGTCGGGGCTATTGCTTGGAGCTATGGGTGGCAACCGACGGGCCATCGTCACATGTGCAATGCGCAATTTGCGTAACAGAATCGGCAGCTTCACCTTCGTATATCTGAACGGTGTCATTCTTCAGAACGAGCTTGAAGCATTTAAGGAGCTCACGGCTCAACTGACTCGCGCCACGGCAGTCAAGCACCCGGTACGTCTGAACTACATTGGGCTTTATCGTAAGGACATTAATTGCTGAGTTCTAAATTGTGCCATTGATGCGGAAAAGATGTTGTCCTACTGGAATATGTACGAGTACTTGCGAGGCTTGCTTGTCGCTAAAGCCAAGGCTGGAGACCACGTGATCGTCATCCTAGATTCACTAGAGCAGTTTGTGCGTGAAAACAGCAACGCCAAGCAATTGCTGTTGTACAACTTGCTCGATTGGCTGCAGGTATGTTACAATACCACTAACAGGACGTCGATAATAATCTCTCTGATCTTTTGATCATCCTCTGTAGGCGAAGGATATCAAGATGGGTGTGTTAGGTATCACAGACAACTACAATGTTGTAGACAACCTTGAGAAGCGGGTACGCTCCAGGTAATCAGTGCTTCTTATACTCTCATTTACTAAAACAATGGTTATTTACTTGTGTTATTTTTCTTGCTTGATACAGATTCTCGAATCTTCAAATTGTTATCGAGCGGCCTTCCTTCGCCCAAATCCGACAGCATCTTGTACGGGTGCTTTCTCTCGACACTTTTCGATGGGATCAACATAGTGAGCTACGACGACCGTCAAGTGCATACACTGCGGCCTTTTCCAAGAGTGTGAGCGAGCTACTGTTGGAGCAGAGCAAGTTTCTTGCCAGCCTCGAGTTTGATTACGACATTGGCAAACCGCAAGCCTTTTTCTTCAGACTCGCCTCCGCTGCCGTCTGCTATTTGGACGTCGACTCTCCTTTGCTAGCTGCCCAGCACTTTCGATGCGCCAGACACTTGTTGGAGCAAGATCATCAGCTGTCTGTGCTGGAGACTGTAACGGAGCATGGTATCGCGCTGTTGATCGGCATGGGGCACCTGGAGAAGGCTGATCAACGTGTGTTCACGCTGGAAATGGTATACGCTCGGTGGGACAATTTCCTTCGTCAGCACGATATGCTCGCACAGCTCCCAACACGCAGTGAAGCTCAGAAAGCGTTGGAGAACTTGCTACGTCTGAAACTTGTCAAGGACGCTGGAGATGCCTTTAGAATTGGACGTGGTGGAGATAATTCTATCAAGCAGGATACATCTGGCTCGCTGCAGCCTGAATTTCGAGCCGTACACTTGAACTTTGCTCCGCGTACGCTCGAAGGCATGCTGCGTAATGGAAGCATCCGATGTTCGACGCTATTGAAAGAATGGGCTATTAACGGGAGCTGACTTTGACAGAGGCTCTGTATAAATAGAGGCCACCTGGGTGTTGAGAAATACTACGTGTCCGCTTCAGACCCTCTTTCAGCGCTGCTCTCGACGTTGAACAATGGTGGTTAATGTGGATTCTTTCCCAAGCAGCGAACACTCGAGTGGCTCCGTGCAGTGTCAAGTCGGTGTAGTTGCGGACAATTGCCCCATTTTCAGCTATGTGTACGCACTCTCCTGGCCTCTTAACTCTCAGGCTCGTGTAGATTAACGCTTGATCTGTCACTGTACGTGTGTGCTCAAGACTCCAATCGTCCACTGTTCTCCGTAAAGTTCGTCTGGGCCAGTCACTGGATACTGCACTGCATTGTGTAAGCATTGTAGGCAACTCGCCGTAGCATGGAGACTAACCTGATGTTCTTTTGGCAGAAACCATTGCTACAATCTCATCTGAAGCAACCGCGGGATTCCTCTCTTACTCTGGTACCCTTTCCTATTTGTTTCCGTCGAGAGAGAAATCTGGATCCGATTCAAATACTACCAGTGAGCCGTGCGCGACAATCATGTAGCGTCTCGACCTTAAAAAATGCTCCTCGTACGCCAAACTTGTCCCCATCCACCGAAATACCAAAGGAACGCGATGATTCTGACCCCAGCAAATCAGATGACGACAATAGAAACTCTGACGATTCTCCCAAAGCGTCGAAATCAGCACCTGATCACCATAATGCGGCACTGATCATTGCCCGATTCTTTCGTAGTGTTTGTCGACTGGACACCGCGGCTGATCGAGCACGAGAAGTGTTACGTCGGCGATGGCGGGAGCAACACCCTGAAAAGTACCGAACTCCAGTATTTGAGCTGACGAATAATGAACAGCTTCGGGTCTTGCAGCTCTACAATCCTCATCTGTATGGTTCCCAGAAGCTTACTTTACCGCTTGCGACGACTTCGACGTCAACGAGGCTATCACGGGTCCCTCAAATGGAACAGCACAAGCGTCTTCGACGATTAGAGATACTTACGAGAATGAACAGAGAAACAGCACTGTTGAACGAAACTAGCAAGCAGAAGACGCAAGCACCTGCCAGCACAACGACGACACTCCACAAGGCGTACCAGCGGCAGACGTTAGGTCTCCAAAAGCGGCCAAAAACCGTGCTAGGGCGTGAACGGCTGCTTCAAACTCGCGATCTTATCATGTTTCCACGAACTCCACCAAATTTCCGCTACAAGACACCACCAGAAGCCCGTCTTCTGATGACTCATACACTCAAAAGCGTGTCGACACTGCAGCCATTAGACAGACCCAAATAAGTCCCCCACTACGAGTCAGTTCATCGGCTTAATTCACTGCTGTGCGAGATTGTAATCGATCAGCCGAGTGGTGAATATCGTTTGAAGTGTCTACCACTTCAGTCAGCTGTGTGCTCAGCAGAAACCACTCCGGTTTGCTGGTTGAGCCTGCTGCCATCTCTTTCTCGACAAAATGAAGCGGTTCGTAGATTTTCGCCAACGTTCCACTGGATAACTTGAGATGCTCGGCGGCATGGGGATGAAAAAGTGCTTTAAGGGTCGAGCTTTTCTCTGTCAACGCAGCTGGTGTAGCTTTCTCCAACTTTGCTGCCACCTCCTCGATTTGACATTCGTACGTAACAGAATGTGGCGCAACAGCGCAACACCTCATGAGCCGGACCAGAACGCACGCTCGGTCTTGAATTGACTCGATGGCGCCACTCGTTCCCTTCAGTGAAGGATGGCTGCTCTGTTGAGGGAGCAAGTGCTGGCCGTGCGAGCGCAGAAGCGTCACGTCTCGGTTGCGCTTACGAATCGCTTTGCGAATTACATCGCCCAATCTTCCGCGGATTTTGGAGATACAGGACTCGTCCTTGGATTTTCGACCGATACTACTACCACCCGTTGAAGGTTTCGTTGGAGAGAAAATTTGCGGTGCAAACGGTTCAGCTCGCATCTGACGTTCAGTATCAAGAATCGCGTCAGCCTCCATGGAATTCTCGTCTGCGTGGGTCTGGATAGTCAAGAGCCGTGGAAGTTAGTTAGACACATACAAAAAAGCCGTAGAAGTCTAAGTTCGTACCTGTGACAATAACGAGTCCTCGTTCAGCACGTTTTGCTGCTGTGAAAGTGTCGTTGCGCGTTGTAAAACATCCGATAGTAGTCTTTTTTTCGGGGCTACAGAGCTATTGTCAAAGCTATTGTCCACAGTATGTCTGGTTTGTGTCATCTGTGACCCTGGTACGCTCGGTGGCATCGATTTTCGCCTACAAAGGCAGTAACCACGTCATAATCCACCAATGTCGACCCACCTCTGAGAAAACTCCACACTCACCTTTTGGCAGCAGACGCTTCTAGCTGTGAACGTCGCTTCTGAATTGCACCCAGCGACTTGCGGCGGTTTTTCGTGTCTGTAGCTGAAGGTTTCCTCGCGCTCCATCGATCGGGCCTCGAATCTGCAGCTTCAAAACCGAGCTTCTTCTTTTTAATGCTAGTACCGGCTTTAGTAGCCACCACACTGCGCTGACTGTGTTTCAGGATGGAGCGATGATTGCTTCCGTTAATGATGCTGGCGTCTGTTCCCCCTCTACTGACTGCGACTCGTCCTGTTTCCTCCTGGGATGAGTGTCCATTAGCTGACACGGCGAGCGAATTCCCAAAGAATTCTTCTGCAGATCTTATACTTGCAGCCTCGTTGGCCTCAGCTACTAGCGTTGCTGTCTTCTGTGTCTGTTGCTGCTGTATCAGCGTCGCGAACGGATTTTCCTCCTCTCTCTCGGCTTCGTCCCCGCTGTCGTCTACATACAAGCGACTGTTAGCTTCAAATGACGAACACGACGCCAGGAAGAACAACGCACCTAGATTAAACAGCGGCTGCCGCTGCCGCGGGAAGATTTGAGTGGCACCGCCTTCTCCTGCTTCTTTTGTTGCAGTTGTCGTCGTCACGCGAGGCTGCGTGGGAGCAGACACGGCGTCGGGGGATAGAAGCAGGTTGCGATTATGCGAGTCCGACTCCAGATCGTAGTACACCACGCGCTCATCGTCCTCGTATGGCGCCAACCTTCGACCTTGCATCTTCGCGATTTGACTTGCGCGGAAAAAAATGGCAGTTGATTTTGTGATGCATATTTTATGTGAAAAGGAAAATGGTCCCAAAAGTTGACGTTGAAGTAGACAAATCAGACCGACACAGATGAATGAAGTACCGTATGTCCTAGGCGTCACTTCAATTTTCACATCGCATGCACAGACAGATGTGAGCAAATCATGGTTTTACGAAACGTTGGGAAGGAAATACGTGCAATGTAATTATTCGACATTGCTGTTTAGATCATCGTCAGATTCAATGTCATCGTCCGAATCGACATGGCCGTCGGCAAGGTTGCAATTCTCCAGCTCTTCGACAATACCACTGTCAATGTATGCAATCTCGATATCCCTCAGATCCGCTACTGTGCGCGTGTCGCTAATGATGCCAATCTTATCAAACCCGCTTACAATTGTCTCCTTTGAAAGATCTGTCCAACACGTCGAAACCCACTCAGTGATGTCAGCTCGATTAGGTGGCTTTAATTTGAACGGGTCTTCTGTGTGCAAATCTTGAAGTCGTTTGACTTCGTCATCGGCCCGTTCTTGGGTCAAATCTTTGCGAGCTCGTGCAAATAACGAATGAAGCTCTTCTCGCTTGTGCTGGCGTCGTTCTTCTGCAGTGCGATACTCTACAAGCTGGTTTCGTAAGCGGCAAACCCACAATGTGCGTAGCCTAGCTTTAAAAGGCTTATTCCATGATATGTCTGCCAAATGGCAGACATAAGTGTATCTCGGTGGGACTTTGAGAAGGACAACGTTAATCGATGCCGCGTATTCCTCGACTCATCGGTCCAATGCCCGCTAAAGTCATCCCAGATTAGTAAAATGTTTTCATCCAGATTCGCTCGCTCAGCAAATGAAATTGTAGAAATCTGACAGACAACTCTGAATTCCACCACGCGCATTTGTTTCCGTAAATTTGGCAGCTAAGTCGTTTTTGTAATGGAGTAATTTCACGATTCCACATTGTTGGACTAAATTCATGGCGCAGAGCGTCATTCTCGACGCGTTTGGTCGTTATTGTTGAAGGTAGGCATTTAAATACTAGAAAAGTATCCAACTTATTACCTTACCAGTCTACTAAGAGCATGACAGTAGCTCGAGCCTTCTCCTTATTACCACACCTCAACCATACGGTCTTAGCACCACGCTGGTCTATAGTCTGTTTTGGCAAGTACTCATAATTCACGGCTACAGTGCATGTTCCTCAGCAAAACAAAATAATAGTAACTTTGAAAAAAATGTACCGTACCCGTTTGATCTGCGTTGTATACTTATACACACTGCCTGTCGGTTATTGTCTGCAGCATCAATGTCAGGAGCGATCTAGCCGCTTCTAGAGCGTCCTCCGGTGTCGTTTGACAGTGACAGTTTGTGCCGTTTTAGAAAAAGTTTTATCCACGTCGGTGAGGCAGCAAATTTGTCCCCAAGCCCGATGTCAGAAGCAGTCTCTTTTGCCTCTAGCTGCAACATGAGTCGCGACACAGGTGCGCCATCCTTTCGTAGGGAGTTGAGCCAAAGGACGATCGACGCTTCGGCCGCCTTGGAGAGCACAGTTGCATCACCAAGACTACGTAAATTTTGGTGCCTGCCGCGGCCCGACTCACACGCAGCACGGATATCAGCGGACTGTTTGGCCCACTTGTTGATCTGCTTTTTTTTAGCTCGTACTGCAGCATCGGTCAGCTCACCGTAGAAGTGTGCAATCGTTTCATCAAGACTGTGACCTTCTTCATTGTAATTTAGAACATCCCTCTTGTGTGAATACTCCACCGCTGTGCGTTGATACGACTTTCGCGTCTTGCCTTGCCCATTTATACGAGGGCGACCCATGGCTCTGTTGGCTGGTGCTTTTCTGACAATGAAGCGTTGTTTTATCCTAACTGACTCTAAAATTAACTGTCACCCCAAATGTAAGTAGCAAAACCACCTGCCAGAAATACCGCTTTCTGATTGGTTTTTGGTAGTCTGACCCTTAGAAGTAAACGACGCTTATGACTACGACGCTACGGTACCCAGCAAAGCGATGAACGTGCAAACGCACAAAAGGACTAGAACTTTGCAAAAGCTCATTTCTCTAATTCATTTCTTGGCTTGCCTAATTTCTGTCTTCTCTTATCTGATCGTTTTAGGAAGGATATCAAATTAGCCCAAGGTTTCCTTTCGGGCTCATTCACCAAAGTGTTCCCGTACCGAGTCTGCATTGTGAACAGAAACTCAGCCATGCCTCGGCCGCCAGCCAACAAGAAGCAGTCCAAGACCGCAGCGAAGAAGGTGTTGAGGAACAAGAAGGCGGCCAAGTTTACTCACACGACGCCTTCGCAGGTTGAAGGAATGGTCTTGTGGATAGAAGTGGGCTCTAACCGCGCTATTTACATCGGAGAATCAACCGCTGGAAAGGGCATGGCGCAAAATTCGGGTATCACGAAGCTTGCCGGATTTGCAAGCATGGCGCAGTACGTACACGAGTATGCTATGCAATACGGTGGAGCTGATCCCCGCCATACCGTGGTCTGGGACAGAACAACTTGCCAGAGCCGATGAATGTCAAAGTTCAAGCGCTACAAAAACGCTCGAGAACGTAAGAACAGCAACACAGGGTTCGGAATCACGGAAGAGATGCTGGCGAATGGAATCACGGTCGACCACATCATCGAGAAGGCGTGTCCGTTCTACAAGAGGATGGACGCAATGTTTGCAGAGCAAGCCAGCATTAATCCATAACCTGAGTGCCATGTACCGGATCTTAGCGATAACGACGTACGTCTACTTGATAAACTTACTGATGACCGAGCTAATAGCGGTGGAGCATACGCTGCTTGCGATAGCGAAGACCATGAGCTCGGCTATCCCGATTTTAGACTTGATAAATCACCACCGGACAGTGAAAGTGACGGTGGAGAAACCGTATTCAGTGTTGGAGCTGAGGATCTCGTCGATGTCCGTCATAATCATGAAGACCAAGCCAACCCGAGCAAAGACTTTCAACATGACGAAGGTGAACCTGACCAGAAGAATCGACCACCAAGCGGGATGTCCCATGCTGCTACAGATGCGACAAGTATATCAAACCGACTGCCGCTCCAACAGCTACTCGGCCTTCGAAACCAGTCCAGCTTAGCATTGACTCCACCACAGTACCAAAATGACCAAGAGGATTTCACTTCTCGTCGCAGATTCCAGCCAGAGGCACGAACATCTACTCGAGCAACCCAACCAGTGGCAAAGTCTGTTTCAGCTGCTAAAGCTGTTGCTAAGCAAAAGGAGTGGAGAAGGCAAACTCGTAAAAGCGAAAGGACTTTGGCTTAGTGTTCTCTGTAGAGGCAGAGAAAACGAGACACGTTGGAGAAAAAAGTGCAAAACTGAAGCTGGAAGCAGAATCCAAGCAGTTTAAGAAGGCAATCGAGTTCCAAAACAAGGAGCTTGACGCCCATGTCAGCGAGCAGCGCAGATCTCGGGAAGAACGCGATCAAGAGCGCCAAGATAAGCGCCGCGAAAAACGTGATGAAGAGCGCAGGAAAATGGCAGTGGAAGTATTGCTTGGAGGAAAGCCTATCTCTGAGGTGCAAGCACTGGTGGAGATGTTCTTGCCTAGCTATTGATCAGTGCACGCTTAATTTGCTCACGCTTTTGTTGTGCTACCGTGCCTACCTCCGCGGTACCCCTGGGTTCATCGTTGTCTTCTTCGTCGAGCGTGTCTTCGTCCCATACGTCTGCAAGCGCCAGTCCAAGGTTGTGAAGCAGAACGCAGGCGGGGATATGGTATTCACGTGACGGAAATCTGCTTTCCTCTTGATTTGAGCTCGTACTTCTTTCAGGAACATCCAGCGATTCTTGAGCAATCAAATACAGTTTTCGCTAATGACTCGAGCAGATGAGATGGTTTTGTTATAGAACGCATTTTTATCCTTGGCCGCTGGTACGGGGTGATTAGCCTGGTGCTCAGCGCATATCCAGTATCACCAATCAGATACTCGTCACCGGAAAAGTATCGCTCTGGGTGCTTTCGCAATAGGAGTCTCGGAAAACACCGTTGGGGCACAGCACAATCCTGACCAGCCTGTGAAAGCTCTCAGAATCGCATTATCTTCGTTGCAAATGACCTACACGTTCAGGCTGTACTGGCACTTTTGACTATAGTGCAATGAGCCCTGGATGTGCGGCTTCTAGGAAAAGCTGACGTGAGTGCCGTCGACAAACCCGACAACTCCCTCAGTTAGCCCAAAACGCTCTTCGTGAAATGCTGCCGATAGAGCTCGCTGCTGCCGACGGGGCCAAGACACCCATGTTGTGTAGTGACGAAGTAAAGCTTTCTGCACACGACGTACGTAAGTCGGAACTGTCCCTATTATAGCTGCGTAGTCTCGAACGAGATGCGCGACGGAGTTTCCATTTCCATAAGCCCCGTACCACTCTAATGTTATAGCGAGCTGCAGTGCTACATTGCGCTGCTGCTTCTTGGCTTTGTCGCTCTTGGCCTTGTCGCTCTTGGCCTTGAAAACAACTAGCCGAGTGCCGCCGCTACGCGGCGGGAAAGAATGAATGTCGTTCCTTGTGTTTTGCCTCCGTTCCGCTCGCTACGGCTCGCTTCACTACTCGCATGGTAGGCTGGCCGATTGTGGCTCAGGCGGGCCCATACGCCCGCAGGGTTGCAGAAGTGCCGATTTGGGCCGCCTCGCTGCGCTCGGCAGCTTTTAGGCCAATCGGGGCCACCTTCGCTGCGCTCGGCAGCCAGTAGAAATATTTAAATTATTTTATCCAATGATTTGTCCGGAAAAGCGTGACAGGCACGACAATTTAGTGTGACGGACAGACAGGTTGCTGCAGTAGATGTTTAAGACTAGCGCTCTGGGCGCCCGCTCCGCGGACGCTTGGGCATGGTTGGCTGACGTAGCGTAGGCTGGACACCTCCGCTGCGCTGCGGTGGGCTTAGAATTTCTACTTAGAGCGAAGCTACATATAATAAATGTATACTGTGATATACTTATGTTACGTTCCAAAACAACACCGCACACAGTATCTATAGTGCTCACATATTGTGGTAGACATGACCAGGGTTTAACGCGATCTGCAAGAAGAGCACCATCTTACCCGGGAAGGTTTTGTTTATTACCATTTGAGCAAATAGCTACCAAAATGACACGAATCGGAGGCGCGCGTGGCTAAAGCGTTTATATATGCTGTTCAGAAGACGTGTCAGTTTCAATGATGATCCAAATTGGCATAGATCGGTGAGGGATCTCAGTTTAGCTGGAGGAAATACGCCTACTTAAACTTAATACCATCGGTCACGTCATCGCTGTGAGGCAGTCGACACCATTTTTTTTTGATACGGTCTATTAGAGCAAGGTTTGGTCAGCCTATCGCGCGAAGTACCTTTTAGAGCAAGTAGGTTTTGCCGATGGTTGCCACAAACACCAATATTATGCCTTGAAATTCTTCCGCTGAGCTGCTTATGATATTAGCGAAGGGTATTCCACTATCTTCCGCATGCATTGATCTTACTTGCACTTACTGACTTATTTGCAAAGCTACTGACTGACAGAGCGGCGTCGATCCTTTCCGAGTAGCAAGCTCTGATATGTATGACGAACATGCGAATCCATATCGATATAGGCAGATTATCATATCGTAGTAGTCTTTAGATTTGAATCGAATAGTAGCTCATGTACGTTCGATGCTGTACGCTCGCCACTACTTATCAGCTTAGCGTGTTGTTTGCTATGTCCGTGCATTGCTGATTTCGTTAGCTCGTCGGCGCCACGCTCTCGCGGTAGCCAAAGCACATTGGGTCACTTTCGCTTTCTCGGTACTTTTGCGTCATGGTGTGCTTACGCGTCTAATGGAATAGCCTATATGACTCAGCGCGTCACTAACTGGGCACAGGCCATACCGCAGCGATGTAGGCAAGCTGGCCGCGCGTCTCTTAGCAGTAGTGCTTTATACGCGCGCGGCGGGTACACCTTGTAGCCATCCGCGACTCATATGTCGACCATTATGGACAGGACACTAAAATACAGAACTGCATACAGGCACATCGACCTGCAACATCCACCTGTACGCTCTGCATTACCGCACACGTGCTCGTATCTACGTAGACAGCAACGGTTTTGTCGCACGTAGTACTCACTCAAAATGTAGTTTAAATTTATGAGCGCACATTAATGGAATATACTCTGTGAACATTGACAATACAGATAGCGTGGCTTGCCTTTGTCCAAGTGAGGGAGTGTACGTGTGACGCGTACGCAGATAGAAACGGCCAGCTTGCGGCTGTCCACAGTAGATACCATGTGCTAAATATTTTTTGAAAGGCGCTACGCTGTTTAGGTGTGTCAGCAATACTGACTGCGCCATAGGCTGACTACCATATGTGCGACCCCGAGCCTCGCCCAGTCAGCCAGTATACTAAATACAAAGATAGGAAGGAAAGTGGGGGCCTAAAAGGGTATATTTACCAATTACTTGCTCTTCTGCTGCTTCTTTTGCTCAATGTACCTGACCTTTCGGGCGGTCAGCTTGCGAGGGCGGCTGCGCCTCTTTTTCTTCTTAGGGTACCAGTCAGGACCCATCACCTCCTCGACGTTCGGCAGGCTTTCCTGGCGGCGCTCTTTGGCCGAATTAGGTGGTGGAGGCTTTTCCTCCCAGAACTTAACCGCTTTTGAGCCGTTCTTGCAGGCAATACAGTGCCGCACGCTGCCTCGTCCGCTGATTGTACGGAATGCGTAGCCGTACTGCAGCTTCCCGCAACCGACGCAGCGCGCCCGGGCATCCGTCGTAGACCGCTGCGGGTTCAGCAGAAGCGGGTCAATCTTCGCCTCGCATTGCTTGCACGTAGGGCCCACCATTTTGCAAACTGTGCCTATGTTAGCAAATTATATTGTTTTAACCAATTACTTGCGTCCAAATATTAGCCAATAGCACGAAAATATAAGGCTGGTATTTATTATTTATAAAATATTAAAAAGCTGATATGTAATATTTTGCTTTGCTTTAATAGTAATATTATCAGATGTTTAAACGAATACATACTTTACATGCAATAAAAGTGACTAAAAACACTATGTACCGTGCGCGCATGCATTCGTCGAGTGTGGTGCACGGGAGCAGATAGCGCAATGACCGTGCAGCCGCGCGCCTTCATTGCACGGTGGCAGTGTTGAGTGCCAGGTGAAGAAAAAATATATATATATTCGCAAAGTCCCTACAAAAAGCGCTGGTTTTAATATTAGAAATACTATCGTCTCTACTTTAGAAAGTGTGTGGAAAATAGCACCGCCGAGCTCTTACAAATGCTGCCTGTGAAGCTTATTTTAATAATACTAATACTATTAATATCGTCTTTACTTTGAAAAGTGTGTGGAAAATAACATCCCAGAGCTCTTACAAAATACTGGTCTGTGAAGTCTACATAAATAATATTACATATCTCTATTTGAGAAGTGTGCAGAGCTCTTAGAAAATAAAGTGGTTAGTGTGCCCGATTTGCAGTACATACGATAGGTTTTGCGTAGCTAAATGTAGATAATCAATCATCTGCGCAGCTCGCCTGGCTGTTTGCAACCAATCGATGCGTTTCGTGCTCGGCAGAAATACTTACATCACGTCCAATCGCGAGGGCGAGAGGCAGTCTGATCGTGCGACAGATCCAGTCAGTGTCGCAGGTCGGCAGGTATTGCCCAATCAGGGCGCGAGCTAATTGTGTCCGCTTTTTGGCCATATTT